ACTTTTATTTTCTAAAAGAGGCAGAGATAAATAGTTGTCTATTTCTTGAGTAATTGCAGACCTTAATATTTTTTGCTTCTTAATTATGTCAGTGGTAACAACTTCAATATCTACTAATTCTCTTTCTGCCTCGGAACGTCTTTTACTCTGCTTTCTTCCGGTTCTCATAAAAGCTACATCTTTAAAACAATCATCAATGCTAATGAATCTATTAGATGCTGGAGCTTTTACTATTGGAGCATTGTCGGAGTCAGAGTCAACAACATCTTGCGCTCCTTGCATTTCTTTCCATGCTTCTTCAACCCACTCCTTAATAACATTTTCATCTGCATGTTGATAAAGTAATTTATATCGTGGATCCAAAAATGTTGATACATATAACATTTTATTAAGCAAAAATTTATCAAGTCTTTTAGTAACAGATTTTATTAGTTCATCAATCATCGTCATAATCCCAGCGTATATATCACTTGATGAAGCTTTTTGTAATAAAACTTTTAATGCAAGAACAGATGGTATAATTTTTGCGCAAGTTTCGTCCCTCTTACCACATTTTTTTGTTAAGTTTTCAAATGGAGCAAGAATGTGAACAAGTTTTTCAACTATTCCCCATTGATAATTATTAGGAAGTTTAATTTCATCATATTCTGCTGCGTAGGTGGCCAAAGGAACTTTTTGTTCAAACGTCCTTTGTAGCATTTCAAATGAACTGTTCCAGCGAGTTGGAACATCTTGTTTCATTTTGTGAGGTACAGTACTTAACTGCTGCTGAATTGATTTTAATTTTGCACATGCTATTGGTGAATGATTAAAATGTGTCATTATTCCTCTGCATAAAGTTAAAATTTTCTTGATGGTTTCTTGGCTAAATATAGAGTCATCAAATGGATCCTAGATGAAGAATTTTTCTGGGAGATCAAGCAACTGGAAGTTTCTTTGAGTTCGCTGTGCTAAACTGTTCCAAACCTCATTCTCCCATGAATGCATCGGACTTTAAGGTTGGTCGTTTGATAGTTGATTCGGAGCTTCTTCATCCATCTTAGCAATCTTCAGCCTCTTTTTTTTTTTTTAATTATTCACCTCCCCAAGGCCCGAGGGGGCCACTACAGTCGAGGAGGCTACTCATTTTTTTTTTTTTTTTTGTAAATCGTAATAAAACTCTCTCTCAACTCTTTAACTCCTAGACATGAACCTTGACAAGCAAAGCAGCTCCATGGAGAAATTAAGTTGAGCGCGGTACTTTCAGGGACATGGTGGGAGTTGAACTCTTGGAGTCATTCGATAACCTGGAATCAAATGAGGCCAAATCAACAAGATCCTCGGACAGATACCACAAATGTAGACCTAGCTTCTTGCTGATAACAGCAGAAATAGTTGCATAAAGATATCTCAGAAGCTGTCTCATAACCATAAAGTCATTCAGAGATGCTTCAATCTCCAGTGGTGCTGTCATCCAGGCTTTGAGGTGGATAATAACATAAAAGGTGACAACTTCAGAAATACCACACTTTTCAAAAACTTAAACTGATTGCAAAAAAGCCACATACTCTTAATTGAGTAGATGAATTTTGCCATTCATTGTGCCCTATGCATTGCGCAAGGCATTTGAAATCGAATACCACGTTCAGGAACATGTCCAAGAAATATGACTGCTAGCTCAAAAAATTCACTGCAGTCATCTCTGGTTTGTTCAGTTTGCAGATATGTTCTAGAAAAACTCAGGATTTCAGAACGATATGGTGCAGCTAATAACTCAATCAAAGGGTCTGAAGAAGCCACCTGAACACTGTCACGATCTAAGAATTGCAATTGATCTTTGAATATGAATTGGTTTTGATAATTGATTAACTTCTTAAATATGAGAATTTCAGGTTGAGTAGAAGTGACAACTGAAGTCTTCTCAATTGCAGCCCTGACAATAAACTCCATAAAGTGGTGACGACAGGCCAAGAATAGATAATCTTTGTTTAGTTTGTGCTCGATCAGAGAACATGCTCCAGAACGATGACCAGTATTAGATGCTGTCATATCATTACAAACTGCAGCATTTTTTTTATATATTCCTCTATTTAAATCTATACTAAAGAGATTTAAAAATAAGTTGATTCACTGCAAATAGATTTTCGTTTGATTGACAAAGATTTAACTTTTAGAGAATTTATAATTTTGTTTAAATTAAAACACAAATTGGATACTTTATTTATTATCAGTTAAAACCTTATTTTTAAAAGTTTTTATTTTATTCAGTTAAATCTTAAATGTTATATGAATATTTTATAATAAGAACTACATATTTACTATTAAATATAATCTAATACTATTAAATAATATATAAATTGTTAAAATCAAATTTATTGTTAAGTTCAATGAGTTTAAAATTGAGATTAATATAAATATACAAAACCAACACTCTGATATAAATACTATGATATCATAATTAAATACTTTTCAAAAGTTACTTACTTTGTATTAAAACTAAAGTTTCATCTTTAAGAAAATCTTTGAAATCATTTTAAGATACGTTTCCCTCTAAAATTTTTGAAATCACTTTAAGAGCATGTTTATTACCTAATTTGTGCATTTTTGTTGGAAACTTTTCACAATATACCAATTTTATTTTATCTCCCGCATAATTGTAACACTTATTTACTTTTTCTATTAAACTGAGTGATTCATTTTCAGAAATATAACACAACTTTCTATAAATGTTATCGTTTTTTAAAAATATTTCATTTATAACATTTTCCACAATAGATTCAAAATCTCCTGAACATGCAGCAAGGTCTGATAATTTTTGTGCATAATTTTTTAAATTGTATTCATTTCTCATGTCATATGTAGTTGAAATAATGCTTTTACCAATTTTACCAATAACGGGAATAAATCCAAAAACCGTCAATAAAGCAGATATTTTCCAATCTTGCTTAAAACGATAAGGTGAATCTAATGTTATTTCCGCCTGACTAAAACTTTTACATAAGGTTTTTTTGTAACTAAATTTATAATTATTTATATCCTCTTCGTTCATTTTTGATTATCATATACACTATAAAAGCTAGCTATTGTTACCAAAATTATTCATAATAATTTATTTATATTTATTAATTTATTATAAATATAATTTTTATGCTATATAATAATTATGCCGTTTTTTTTTTCAGGCATTGAGACAAAATAACATGAGCAAACAGTTGTGCTTGTCTCAAATTCTTTCAGTTGTCTTTTAATGTTTTTATTTTAAAAACAATTTACGGAAAATATTTTAGGGTGTGTCAATGAAAAGGATCCACCAAAAGTTGGTTTCGCAATTTAAAAAAAATTACGCGCATGTGAAGTTTTCGTAAGGGAAACGCAAAATCCAATCTGTTTGAACAGTTTTTAAAAATTCTAGACCCGAATACGGGATTTACATGTGACACAATTGTTATTTTCATGTCTTTTAAAAAATGTATTTGATGTTTTTTCTATGAATGGAAAAATGGATGAAGCAAATAAAGGTTTATATAGTTTTTTTAGTTTGAATATTTAATATAATTATATTTTTCATATTTTATAATAATTTATTGCGAAAATAGCAGTTATGTTAATAATTATCAATATTTATTAATAATAATATATCAATTAAATATCAATTTAAGTTGAGGAGAACAGGTTGATATATATATATATATATATATATATATATATATATATATATATATATATATATATATATATATATATATATTTATATATATATATATATATATATATATATATATATATATATATAAATATATATATATATATATATATATATATATATATATATATATATATATATATATATATATATATATATATATATATATATATATATATAATAGTAATCAGAAAGAAATATTGTGGCTTAACTGTGAAATTGAAAATCTAACTGACGTTAACGTAAGTCATTTTAGGTATAACCTGTATCAAAATGTAATATGTAAAATGAGTTTGTGTCATTATAGCAAGTTAGTTTGTGTCATTATAGCAACATGAATTCCTTTGATTCTTTTTAGAATGAAGAATCACTTGATTTGAATGAGTCAAAAAATATTTGATTACTTTTGTTTACCAAAATGTTAACCAGCGTCGTTTACTACAAAGGTATGGGAACAGTGTTTGTCTTCTTGATGCAACATACAAAATGTCATGATATGCCATCCACTTGTTCTTTTTAGTCGTTAAAACTAATGTGGACTACCAAGTTGTAGCATCATTTGCCATTCAAAATAAGATAGTTACCTCAACTACAGAAGCTTTAACATTCATTAAAATATGAAATCCACTGTGGCTACCACAAGCATTTATGGTAGATAACTGCGATGAAGAAATTCAATCCATCTTATTTTTGTTTCCAAGTAAGTACATTATTTGCAGGGTTAGGGTTGTTACATTTTAAAGATACTTAAAAGTAAAAAAAGTAAAAAGTAAAAGTACTGACTCTAATAGTAACAAAGTGAAAATACTAAAATAAACGTGTTTTGGTTTAGCAATACTTTTGAGTTACAAAGTAAAAAGTACTTTTGTGTGTCACAAAATTGAATACATCAAACAATAAAATGAAAGAAATAAGTTTTAAAGGTATCTTGTCATAAAATGTAATTTCATATATGTAATTTCATAAAATGTAATTTCATATATGTAAATAATTTTATTACAACAGATTTGTTTCAGCAGTTGTTAATGTTTGTGGATTATTGTATAATACAATTTTATGTAAAATTATGTAAGAGTAGTATTTATGTAAAAAAAACGTTTATTCAATGAAAAGATAAAACATTTTATTGTTGTCTTTGAAGCGATTAAACAATACAGTATAGCTGCGTATAGTTATAAATGTATTTGAAAAGTGTTCTAAACAGACAGTTAGTTCTTTCCTTTGTTATAAAGTAAAAAAAATAGGTCTGAAAAGTAACAAAAGTACTTTATTTACTATAAAATGTGCTTTTTGTCAAACAAACAACATCTACTTCGACATGCTACCTCCTTCCAAAAAAAAGAAATCAAATCTTTCAGGTAGAGTTGGTATTGCAAATGACCCACAAAAAGCGGTATCAAAAATATAGATTGGAACGGAAGCTTCTGGAAAAAAAATTAATATTATATTTTGTAAAATAAAAAATTGAATTTGAAACTTTAATCTCATTTTCTTTTATTACCCGGCATTAGATTAAAAAAAAATGATTTTTTTATTATATAAATTATTAATTTTTTATTGTTGCTACTAATAATACATGGATATATAAACTATGGGTGTTAGACTTAAGGGCTATTTAGTCTTGAAATAGATAAAGATTCTACAAGTTAGTTTTTAACAAAGATAAAGACTCTACACCCATGTGTATAGACTTAAAACATAACATTCAATTCAATCATATTTTATTAGTTTTAACTATAAATATGGTTTTTAATCAGTTATAACGTAAATTAAATATCATGTGAGTCCTGGCAAACTCAGTTTTACATAAGGGTTGGAATATATACGACTCCGATTAGAGCTAGAGTCTCTGTCGCAAAACTCGTGACGTAACATCTCTCACTTTTCTACAAATACTCTCTTGGGGATAGGGTGAAGTTTTTTCTTGGGTATAGGGTGAAGTATTGGTGCGCAGCTATAACTCTTATAAAATAACGTGGGCTTATTGTGCACAGTTCTAGATTAGTTGTGTTAAAATCTGAAACTGTAGAGTTTTACTCCACACTTAATTGTGAAGTAAAAACTCCACAGTTTCTGCGAGAATACAGTACCGAGCAAATTCTATTATCTCTTTTTCCATAAACCCAAACGCAATTCTTTCTCTGTAACTATTTCCAGGCTCAAAAACTGTGTATTTACTTAATTTCTTGCACGTCTCTATGTTTTTTTGAGTCATACAGTTTACAATTTACATTTATGATTCATTTTCTGTCAACTGTTTTTTTGTGCTTAAACTCTCTTCTTTAATCCAAACTTTAAAAGTGGTTTCTTACGGAAACGTTAGAGCTTAAAAAGATCTAAAACTAAGGTACAAGAATTGTAATCTAATGTTTAAACAATTTAATGTTTAAAAATTATATTGTTAACTGAAGTATTTGCTAACAAAACAACTTTTTATATGTTGTAATCAGTTTAGTACAAAGTTGTTAGGGTTTCTATGTCAAGATCTTGTTACTTTATAATCAGATAGCGTAAAAAAATTGTTCTTTGTAAGCTTTTTTTTTTTGACTTCCGAGCTATCATATTTAACATGGAATTATTTAAATTGGGAAGATTGTGAAGCATTATTCTGTTGTATTTCCTGGTTTACTATATTTGAAATATTTTTAAACATTATTTTGTTGGCTATGAAAGTAATCTTAAATAATACTTATACGTTTCATTAAACATTAGTTGTTGTTTTCTAAACTAAAAGACTTGACACAGTATTTAAGTTTACACCAAATTAATAGAAGTATAAATTAAACTAGTAAGCCACTCCCAGCAGCAAGATTTAAGAAGAGTCACCCTGGGTTTCTTATACTATAAATATATAGACTTAAAAAAAAATAAACGTGCAAAAATTCATAATCATTAGGGATATCAATTTAAGTAAATTTGTGATCACATAATTTAAGGACGAGGGGCGTTATAATTTATAATATTGAAACTTATAATTAAATATATATATGTATATATATATATATATATATATATATATATATATTATATATATATATATATATATATATATATATATATATATATATATATATATATATTCAAATAAAAACAAGGAGTATCTTGATTGCAATTTTGAGCGTTTATTTGATTTGTCATCATGTAATTGTGGACTTCCAGTAATAGCTTGCAATGATAAGTAAGAAAGGCCCATTTTTATTTTAATATATTTTAAAATATTTATTATTATAAAACAAAAATCAATATTATTAAATTTTATGTTTCTAGTTCTAGTTCTAGGTTCAGTTCTAGTTTTCATTTAAGTTTATTTTGTAGATAAATCAATTATGTTTTGAACATTTTTATAGATCTGTGAAGTGTAGGAACCAACCAGATTGCAAGATAACACAATTTGCTTGTCTCTGTGAAGTTAACAAAAAGGTAAATAAGTTAAAATTATAAAAGTAAATTTAATTTAAATCTATAGTTTGTTAAACAAGTAATCAGAATCAAAAGCATGTCAGAAAAATAACGTAATTAATTTTTTTTGACTTTAGCAATAAATCATTTTGTTATATATATTATTAAGAAACGCATCATTGTAATATAATAGAAGAATATGTTATATATTGTTTTTTTACTTGACTCTATGTCTTTGTAATATACAATATATTTGTTTTTAATTGACTTTATGTAAAGTAATTGTTAAAAATTTCTTAAACATATTATAATTTTTATGTTTTGCAATTAAAAAAAGTTTTACATTTTTAAGGTACCACTATTAGATAGAGAATATTTGAAGGATCAAAAATTGAAAATTGGAACTATTGGAAGATTTCAAATTGGTACGATTGATAAAAAAGCAGTTGCCATTGAAAAAAGAAAGCGAGACCGTGAAGTTAATCAGCAGATAAAATCTGCTAACTCACTTGCTCCAGAAATTCAATGTGATCATTATATGGATTGTGATTTAGATAATAAAAATGACTCAGAAACAGATCCTGACTATTCGATAACTGCACCAGCTGAAAGAAATCAAACTTATTTAACAAACATGGCAAAAGCCGCTATTAGGTATGAAATAAGCGATGTTGCAACAGCTGATCCAGTTGTTGTTGCTGCAATCAAAGAAGAATACCATCTAACATTTACAGCAGAGAGTTGACCCACATCACAAAGTTATTTGACTCATTTAGTTATACCTAATGGAATTGGTGCAACCATGGCAAATGCTACTGTTAATGTTTTGTTGGAATTTAACAGTGTTCAGAGTTTAATAGCGGTTATTTTAGATAATACAAGTTCAAATACAGGTTGCGATAGTGGTTTGGTTGTCAACTTTGAAAAAATTTTAAACAAAAACTTACACCTTTTAGGATGTTTGCTGCATCAGAATAAACTTCCACTGCGACATATCATATCAGTATTAGATGGAAAGACAGTTAGTCTTAATTCTTTCAAAGGGCCAATCGGGGAGACTGCATCTAATCTAACACTTCATGAACAGCTATTGTTTCAATTTGTACCCATAAAGTCAGAGGTAGAGTTATTTGTTAACAAAGAGATTATAAGTGATCTTAGTACAGACCAGCGCAAACTCTATGATATGTATTTCATAAGGTTTTATTTCTGAAAGGTTTGTTTCAAAAAAATCAGGACCAGTTTGCCATGCAAGATGGCTAACTTTAGCACTCAGAATTATGATGTTATATGTTAGGACTAAGGAGCCTAATGACTAAGGACTAATAGCTCTTGAGCTATTCGCAGTAACTAAGTATACAGTATACAAGTTTACTGTGTAATGTGGTTTGCTATCAAGCACTCTGGACAATACAAAGATGCTTGTTTACTCCTATATAAAAATATTCAGTTGGTCAAGCTTCAAGAAAGCAGGATTCAAAGTATCGTTTTTACCAATCTCCAGGAAAATTCATACTGTTGTTTGCAGGAAAATTTTCTTTACTGCATGCTGTAAAGAAAACCCAGGATGAAAATATACATATAAAAAATCGAGCTCTTAACCAAATTTTTATAATAAGAAAATTAAAAGAAGACATTATTTTCAAAACTCAGCTTAAACCAAAATCGGTAATGAAAATAAATTTTGATACTGGTTCTTGGGACTTTCTGGTTTCAGTTGATGAGATTCAAATTGAGCCACCAGCAACACTTAGCGTTACTTCAGAAAAAATTAGAGAGGCATTTGAATCTAGACAAAAACTTTGCCTAATTGATTTTCCTAACAATTCGCAATCCATTTAAAGAGCAGTAAAACTAACCTCTGAAGCTACTAAGCAGGTTTATGGTCTAGAAAAAAGACACAAATTCATTTTAGAACCAAAGTCGAAAAGAGAATAAGAGAAATGTAAAAAAATGTGATTTTTCAATAAAATCTAATTTTGCAATTTTCTGTGCTATTTAATTAAAAACAGCTTGCAATGACAAATGTCATAAAAAACATTCTGACTAAGTTGTTTAGTGTTGATAAATTAATATTCCTTAAAAATAACAAAGCTACGAAAGATATAAATCGACTGTAAAAAACGTAACAAATGGTTAAAAATTAAATCAGGGCCATATTAAGGTGGGGGAAGATGGGTCTGCAGCCCCTGGCCCTTACAAAAAATTCCCCAAAGCCCTTCGAAGGCATTGTGAATAAATAAATAGAGATTTAATAATCTATTTAAAGTGGACCTATACAAAAAGATCTATATAAAGGTTTTACCCCCCCCTAATAAATTTAAGACCCCTTACTCGGGGGGCTTGCCCCACAAACCCCCCTGGAAGAATTTTCTGACTCCAAGATCCCCAGATATAGCCTTGCTAACACTGAGCATTTTCACCTCATCGCCACATTAGGCTCTCCTATAATAACAGCTCCAGGCCTAATAATGCCTTAATCCCGCCCTCAATTCAATTAAGATATATATTTGAACCGATTTCCCAAAGTGAAAATAAATTTAACAAAGTTTAATTTTTATTTTTCTAGTTATTTATATTGCAATGAACAAAGTCCAGGGTGACTCTTTTCAGTTTTCAAAAAAAACACCTTCAGTGGCAGTGGCTTATTAAACTAGTATTAAAAAGCACTCATAATATACTCTTTTTTAATCTAAACTTAAACAGAGGTTCTTTGCAGAAAATAAAGATGTAAGAAAAGTTATTTAATGTGTAAATATTATTTGTGAATAAAACAACTTTTTGTAAGTTTTAATCAGTTTTCAGGGTTTCAATATCATGATTGTTTCTTAATTACGAACATTTATTTATATATAATTTATACTTAATTTTGGTTATACCGAAAATATTTAAAAACTAAGTATTTACAACTGAAATTTATTAGAGAAATATTACACCGCTAATTTCTTTTGGAACTTTAATTTTTCTCTCTTAAAATATTTTTAAAAAAGTTTCTGAATTATTATTCAAAATTTTTTCACTCCATCTCAGAGTTCTTTTATTTTAAAGTAAAATATAATCCTGTTGGAGATCGCATTGGTAGTCAGTAAAATCTAGATAGCACTTTAAAGGATTGGATTTAGTGTTTCCCTTTTCGTTATAGTAAACCACGTTACCTTTCAATTCAGGAGTCCCTGAATTGACAGGTTAAGCTGATGAGGTAATAGAAGAGGCCCAAGGATGTTAAATTTATACAAAAATAGGTTTATAGCAACATTATTTATGTGTGTACTTAGAAATGTGTGTTATCTGTAATTATCTCCTATATCTATCCTCTATATCTATCCTCTATACCTATTGAGTATATAAGTATCAATAATTGTTAATTTTATTGTTTTATTGTTGTAAAGTAGAAAAAGTTGTAAAAAATTTTTAGATAACTTTGTTAAATTATAGTTTAATTGTTTATTTATATTTATAAGATATCTAAGAGAATAACAAAATAAACATAATTAAATGTGGGACTCTGAGTTTAACTGTTATTTGAATTTAATTACCAGGACAAACTATCCAAGTTTTTCCTGGTAGTCAGCATTCTGCAAGTTGCAAAATATGCCAAAAAACTTTTTCTGTCAGTGGAAGTGGAACTAGACAAGTAAGAAGCCATGTAATTAGCAAACTTCAAACATCAAGGTCTAAAGAAAGAGAAAGGCAAGCAGAATTTACTAAACTTAAAGATAAAATACTTGAATTTAAAAGCTTCAAATAATAGTTACACTGTTGAGAAAGAAATTTTATAAGATACCATCCGTAGTTTAAATTGTGTCAAGTCTAACTATTCTTTTGCATCAATTAATAGAGTTGGCAAAATGTTTGAAGCAATGTTCCCAGATTCAAAAATTGTCAAAAAGGATACAAACAAAGTTAAACAAAGTCTAAATACCACATTCGTAATGGCCAAACTCTCCATATTTAAAAGCATTGTTATTGAAAGATTTAAACAATACTTTTTTTGCATTTAAATTTATTGAATCTACAACTCAACAAGTTAATAAACAGTAAAATGGTTATGTACAATATTAGTCTAAAAAGCACAACTGCATTAAAATTGCGTACTGTGGAACTATTATGGTAGACCATTTTACTGCTAAAAGGTTGTTAGAACATTTCCTAGAGCTTGTCGAGAAAGTTAAAAAACTTAACATAAAGTTTATGCTTCGTATTTGTATGGATGGTCCTATTGTTAATATTAAGTTTAAGAGGCTTTTAAAGCTGTCAGAGGAAATAAAAAGCTTGAATACAAACATTATATCAATAGGTACATGCCCCCAGCATATAGTTTATAATGTTTTATAGTTGATATTTTAAATTTCAACATTTTAATAGTTATTGTTTTAAATTTCAACATTGACTTGTTTGCAACAATTATTAACTTTTCCTTTAAAAATTTTGCTGCAAGAAGGTTGAACTATTGACAAATAGAAGATCTAACAGAAATTTTTTCACACTTAATTCAAAGAAATTCTTTTACAAGATGAGTGACACTCAAAAGAATATGTTCTTAGATTTTAGAACAACACAACAATCTTTGTGAATATTTTCTAAAATTTCTTCCAACAACAACATCTTTGAAATCAACTGTTAGAGATACTGAAAGATATAAGTGGGTTACAGATATTTTTCAAAATAAAATATCAATGCCTTATATTTCTTTTATTGCTTTTATTGCACATGATTTTGAAATTTTTTTATAAACATTCTAATTAAATAAACCAAGAATTCACCTTATTTACTCTGAAATATCAAAACTTTTTGTTGCACTAATGTTTATCAAAACTAAGCTTCTATATGTTGATAATAGTGGTAGCAATTCCATAAAATCTATTAATTAATTACTGATGATTAATCTGATTGACTCAAAAAAATTTAAACCATTAAAGTTAATTGATATTGACACAAAAGCCATTTCTTATTTTTCAGAAGCTCTAGAAATGTGGCGAAAAGATACTTTGACAAAGTTGTCTTGGGTCTTATTAAGCATTCACAAGTTATTTAAAATTGAAATTACCTTGGAATCAGTTATTTAAAAAAAAATGCAATCTTTCTTGACTCAATAAAATCTTCAAAAAAAAGGAAGTAATGAGTCTCTAGGCGCTGTCTCAAATCTCACTACAGAAGTATGTAAATCATTGGAAGTAGTCTTATGTAATGTTTTTTTTTTCCTGTTCATCAAAAGAAGAGATTTGTGATAATGTACAAAACTAATGGCACGTTTACCAAATAGATTTCCTTCAAAAATGCTATTATAAATGTTCTGAAGAGTTAGTTTTAATTGGGAGATGCCAAACTTCATACTAGGAAAAAGCCTTTTAGCTCGCTGGTTTTCCTGTAGTTTCAAAATTTTTATGTAGTTTTAATATTAATACATTAATCAATTTCTTTGAGACTAAATTTTGAATGTTAGTGGTTCACCTAAGTTTCCTAATATTACATCTCTTCTCAAAGTTGTTTCTTCACTTTTCCATGGAAATAGTGCCCCAGAGAATGGATTTTTAATTAACAAACACATTATTCAGTTACATGGTACCTCACTTGATCTGGATATAATTGAGGCTTCAAGGTTTGTAAAAGATACCATATTGGGCTTTGAATCCATACTTTATATTCTCATAACGTAGTCATTTATGCAATCAGTTAAATTAGCTCACTCAAGTTTTAAAGCTGACCTAAAAGCTAAACGCAGGTTGAAACAGGAAGAAAAAAGCA